AGAGACGTTTCTGAGAAGCGCGATGTCAATTACGTCAGGCCTATACTGCCCGCGATAGAACGTGGGTTCATCCAGTCCCAGCACGAGATATTCATGTCTGTCAGCATGCGCATGGAGCGCTTGGCCGTTTCGATTGGTGGCTCTGCTCCACAGTCCGTACTTGGCATTGAAGTCGCCAGCAGCAATTGTCGGAATATCACTACCCATCAGCAGTTCATTCAGTGATTCTGGGAGTAAAATATTTCTCGGAGGGTTGTAGACAGAGATTAATCTGTGACAACCCCGACTCAGTCGAATTTCGACCCCTACGGCCTCAGTTCCGTGTAACCGAGCACTGTCAATGCCATATTGGACACACTGGAGGGATCGTTCGACATAAATGCCAACTACCCCACCAGCACGTCCAACACGTTCTCTATGGTAGAATTTGTAATTTGGAATGACAATGGATTCGTTCCTCACATGCGTCTCTTGAATTAGAGCCGCATCGATGTTGTGCTCAACGAGAAAATTCTCAAAATCTAGTTTCTTAAGAAGAAAGCCATTGGCATTCCAAAAGACTATCTTCAGAGATCTAGGCAATGTCGGTTGTCTAGACATTGGTGGTTCCAGTCAGCACGTTTGTATAATAGTTGCTTCATCTGCTCTAATGCGGCGCAGATGTCTGAAGCTCCCTGAGTCTGAAGTGAGGGCACAGATCGAGAAGGAGCAGGCTTTGCCGAGCCGTTAGCACCCTTGGATGCTGCTCTGGCAAAGCTAACCCCTTCTTGGACACGACCCGACCCCGCAGGTCTGCCTGGGGAAGATGGTTTCTTAGCTGACTTGCTTCTGGGCTTGTGAGCCTTAGGGAACTCAGGGCAGCCTCTATAATTGGCAGTGTGTGTCCCTTTGCAATTATTGCACTTCAGGGGGTCAGTCCTTGCTTTCTTGCAGGCGTTGGTGAGATGCCTGCCGGCGCACTTGACGCATATTGGGAGTGCCATGCAATTCCTTTGGCAGTGGCCGAAACGATGGCAGCGGTGGCACTGACCCACCGAAGCTTTGGGGTGCTGGGGTTAGACCTGCACCTTCACACTCAAGAGGTCTTTGACCCCAAAGATGTCCTTTTGGTCTCTGGTAACCAGTACCAGGACCATGGGTAGAGGCTTGTTTGCACGCTTCATCCTGGTTACGGAAGAGGGGTCAAAGCCTCTGGCTTCTAACTCCTCACGGATATCGTCAACCGAAAAGTGTTCTGGCACACCTCTGAAGACGGCACGGATTTGCCGGTCTTCGGAGAGAGAATCGGTGTGATGGGGGATGTTCTCCGTCACAAGAAGTCTAGTCAATCGACGATAGTCGTCAGGAGTCGAGGGCTAAACCTTGATGCCGTCATGCAGGTTGACGGCTTTGGTGAAATTTATNTTGGTGGGATCCTAACTTTTTTGTTTGGAGGCTGCTTTTCCTGCTAGCGTGGGGCAGAGGGGCCAGGCTCCTGGTCCTGAACAGTTCTGAGTTGTCAGAAACACTGCCAGCTTGAATGGCTGGACTTGTGTCCATATTTTCATTGGTAGGTGGTGTGGCCACCTCGTGGACCTGACTTCGGGTCACCGGATGCGACGAAACCTCGGACTCGGAATAGTACTTATTTGCCTCGTCCCTAATATCATCTAGAACAGCCTTTTTCTGCAATCTTTTTGCTTTTTTAGGCTGCTTATCCTTTTTGATCCACTCGTCTACCTTGTTGATGGAAATGTCAGGTAAAGGTGGAAAATCATCATTGATTCTTCGTTTTTTCAGAACGGAGGAAGAGGAGGAAAGTACACTCTCAAGATCGCTATCGCGAATCGAATTATCACTTGCAGGCGGAGCATTAGCCACTCCCTGATTCCCGTCTGTCAGATTTTGACAACCGGGCCCAGAGACTGGCAATGTATTGCCATGCAAATCTGACTGGTTCAGGCCAAAGCACGAAATCAATTGGCAAATGATGCTAATGATCTCGGCCTTGTCCCTCCCAGCCAGATTGCGAAGCAGTTCCTCCATACTGCTTGACATTCTATTCACGTAAAAATGACAGCAAAGCTTTGAATAAATGAACGCAACGAAAAATGATATAATCAAGCGTACTCACCGGCAACATTTCTTCGTTTGCACAAAAGAACCAACGAACCACTATCACAAGCCAGAAACACCACAATACGGCTGATCATCAACCAGAAATCTGGCGAAAACACACCCGAACGCTCAGACACTCCAGCACTGTTCCGCTGTCAAAACGGAACTGTATATGTAGGTCCTGACTTGGTACTGCCTACAAGCAATGTTGTTGCTCTCGTTATATAAATAATGATATTCTCTACGTAAACATTGAATAGAACTTTGTGGTTCCTGTTATTGTGTTGTGATATAACCAATCTCATTGTAGGGCCATGTTTCCTAAGGACTATTTAAAACGGGGAGCTTCACGTCTCTCGCTTCCATACGGGAGCGTTTATCACTCCTACCTATCGCCTATTCACACCGGAAGCCTTTTCAGTTCCTGGCTCCTTGAGGTCAGTCGTGGAATAGATCGCATGCCATATACCTTCTCTACCGGCGACACAAACCTCGACGACAGAAACGTCAACGATTGAGAATGGAATGGATAACGTTGCGAAATCTACGTTTAGCACCTTGCAGAGTTCCACCCATTTTTTCACGACTTCATTTCGGTCCTTATAAATGTCGGAACTTTTATCCCAAAGAGCGGGTCGGTTGTAGACAGCACTAATTAACAGCTACACATCGTAATCTGCCATGATCAATAGTGTGAAACGTCAACCAGGGAGAGCAGTTTTCACTCCTCACTCATCCTTTTGCATTTTGAGGAGGAGACACGGCTCACCGGCTTGAGGTGCAGGAGACATGAGAGCTCTCGTCTCCCGAGACGTAGTCAAATTCCACTCTTCGTCTGAAAGCTCCATTGGACTCGTTGCATTTTGGCGCAAAGCCTTCCTTTCTCTCGGGAGCGAGAGACGTGCAGCTCCTCGTGTGAAAGGGCGCTAACTGTATCTGTGGGGTAGGGTATGCGCAGGGAATACAAAACTCAGTATCCTCCAGTGTTGCTACATAATACAGCATATGGGACTATTTTATGCTGTATTGTACGTATCGTTTCTCCGATTATTCCTGGTAGCCAAGTCCAGTGAGGATTTACAATAGAGAAAGCTCAGAACAGCTATCCATGCTTTTCATAAAACTTCACATATGCACTTTACGAGTTGAAGCATTTTCTGGTGTTAAAAATTTCAAAAAGGGCCCATTTCATGTAATTCCTTTTATTGACAGTAGGATTCAATATAGTTAGAAAATAAATCATTTTATTCGACAAAATATCTAGTAACGTGAATTTTCCAAGGTTAGTTTATGCTTTCACAAGTTTCATACTGATCTACCAATTTTCATCGTAAGTGACGATTCTAAATCTATATTCTATTGCATTCATTATTTGCAATTTCTAAGGATTGGCACGAGCAACAGAATCGTTGTTTTGGCAACTAGTTAGCAACTATTTAGCTACAAATTGATGTATTTTTTTGCAATTTTGATGGATTCGCCATGCTAGCCTGATAGGGCTCTGGAAATGATATTATTTTAGATTACTAATATCTTGCATCGTCAAATATTCGTTCATTTCTCATTGATGAATACGCAAATAAAATATTTAGAGTACAGTGTACAATAGAAATTTTGCATTGATTGAAAAAATGTGCATTTCATATGATTTCATATTATTCATGATGTTTGCGTTTCGAGAAATATTTCAATCACGAAAAAATAAACATATAACATCTCAACTGAGAGCCTGAGTATCCCAGTAGAGTAGTATCCAATTACAAATATTTGGGATTCATTTTAGATAATAAGCTTGCATAGAAAAAGCATATCAACTACGTTCAAACCAAATGTGTCAGTAAAAACCAATGAGATGGCACATCCCAAAACTTCTTTATTGTTCTACAGGTCGTACATTCGATCTATACTTGATTAGTGATGTATAGTGTACGGATTGTCCGCAAATTCGATACTGTCATTGATAGAACTAGTGCAAGCAAAAGCCTTAGAAATTTGTCTCGATTCTTTCAAATTATCTCCAACCCTAGCTATTCTTGCAAAAGCTCAGGAACCTCATCTTCTCCTACGCAGATATTTTCTGTCCTGCAAGAAATTAGTCAACAACAAATTATGTAGGAATAACCTAATAGGGGCCATTCACAGTATATCAATTGAAAATGCCGTTAATCAATACTAGAACCACAAAAATAATCACTCTTTGGCTGAAGCCTTCGCCGCAATATCAGAACATATTGTTTCAGTTACAGCTAGAATTTCCTATGTTGATATTCAAGCCAACGGTCATATTCCTCAACTTCTCAGTGAATTCTTAACTTCAACTTCCAACAAAATTGGTACTGGGAACAATTGAATCTTCCAACACGATATACTCTCATGGATCTAAGAGATCATGGCATTGAAAGTGCATTCTACACATATACAAAACAGAAATATTATTTCTCAATTTCACCTTCTCAATAAGACTTTGATATACACAGCAGAGGCTCGTGGTATACTTCAAACTTTTTGTGGGTTAAACATTGACATTGTTTTCATTTGGATGGAGGGTCACTTAAGTATTGCCAGAAAGGAAAAAGTAGATGTAGCAGGAAAAGAATCCACCTCAGATATGAGCTCTCGACAAGACATAATCTCAGACGTTAGATATGAAATACGGCCAAATTTGGGAAGACTCTGAAAATAATCATCATCTGAATTGAAAAATCACCATACACTTTTCAACCCCACTCTCCCTAGCAGATTTTTACACATTTGATACTTTTCTCGATAGAAATCCATAGAGAAAAAATTTGTTTTTGTGAAAAGAAAAATTCAAACGTTTTTAGTTATTTTTGTATTATAAAATTTCACTACATGATTCAACCTGTAACATACTTGTTCAAGTTGCAAAAATGTTGCTAGCATCAGTAACCTGGTGCAGTGATTGGTTCTGGGCGCCGGTCGCTTCCTGCCCCTGACCTTACGAACTCGTCGGTCACGATGCTAACGACCTCGCGACTAGTGTAAGCGAAGAAGAGAACTCTTGCAAATCCAATTTGTCCTGTCCCGTCTTCCGGTTGGGCTCTTCTAGCCATCTAGGGACAAACTAGGTTACAGCTAAGTACCTCTTATATTTATAATATCTCGTAGAGTAACATTATTATGCCATCGAGTCACAGACCTTTGCCGATTTTTAACTCAATTTTAATGCCACATCCATTCCTTAAAAGTAAATTGCAAACGGTATATGTCGGTAAGGTTGAACACGTTACTTTGAATGTACTAGATGCATTGGGAACTTCCTCGTTATCCTCACTTTTGAACTAGTTATCACTAAAGATAAAATTATAATCATAAATTTTATTCGTTAATCATTCGTTAATTATATTATCAGATCAATTATTTATAGGATTATAGAACTTTAATTTCCTTCATGAATAGCATTTCTAAAATTGACTATTTGCTGAACAAGAAAACAGTTATGATCGTTTGAATTAATTTGTACTTTGATAACCTTAATTGTCAAAATGTCACTTTTCTTTTGGGAAGAAATAAAATAACATGTTTTCAACCTTTTTTTTCGTCCACTATTCTACTTCTTCCGAAACCAAAAAAATATTTTGGTTCACTATTCGTTGTCTTCTTCGAACCCTTCGACAAATAAAATACGAAGTTTCTGCGAAGAGTATGTATAATTTCCTGATTGACTCGGCCGTTAGTTGATCCATAGTAATTTCACAAACTACACCTAGATTTAATCTTCGCAAACTTTATTTTCAAAAATATCAAACATAACAGTATGTTATTCATAATGAAGAAGCTACTGTGATAGCAAAACATAATGATAATAATAATAATAATGATAATAATAATAAGCCAATGTATGGGGTCAATAACATTGGAGACCTTGGCTTATCAAAGCGCCTGACGTTCGCTTTTCTCAGGTCGAGTGGGCGGAAGTCGGAAACTGAGGGGTTCATCATGGCTTGCCAGGATGGTGTCTTCAACACCTTAGTCTACCACAGTCGCGTGATGGGTATAGAGGTTCCTGACACAAGGTGCAGGGACTACCGCGAGGCGCCCGATACCCTAATGCACTTGCTATCAGCATGTCCAGCATATGCGGTCTCGGCCTACATCCATCGACATAACGCGGCCCTAAGAGAGCTATATTACCATCTACGGCACTCTTACGGTATTGACGAGACACCGGTGTTGCCCTACGCTCCGAGGGATATTGAATCCGTTGTGGGAAACGGGAAGTGTCTAATTTATTGGAACTATTCGTTCGCCCCCCTTAGGCTCATAGAAGCTAATGAGCCTGATGTAGTCCTTCTCGACCACCAGAGCAAAACGATATTTGTCGTGGAGTTTTCAGCTCCTGGCGAGACCAATATCGTCCGTAAAGAGGAGGAAAAACTGATAAAATACCGAGATTTTCCAGACCACTCTGTCAAAATAGTTGTTCTGATTATTGAAATCCTTGGTGGAATGATGCCCTTTCTACTCTCGAATCTTGAAATCATACCGGCCTTAGCCGGATAGATGCAGAAGGCTGTCATTCTTGGCTCACTGCGCTTGCTTAGGACCTAATGGTCACTTACTCCACGGTGTGGGGAGTGGTCGTTGGTTGATAATGCTGGCGCCCCCTCCCGAACGTATCGGAGCATCAGGGGATAGGTCCTGACTAGCGCATACTTCGTTAAAAAAATAATAATAATAATAACCCTGGCAATGACAACGGACTCTTTGAGTGGATGCATGAGCTAAGAGATAGCCTTATGCATTGCTATGAGAGTAGTGAGCCCGCGCGAAGAGGGTACATGGCGGGAATACATGTTCTGTGGTGTGAAAAACATCCGGAGCATACCGCCTTTTCCGCCCAAAATCTTAGGGATTACGTATCCTATCTTCGGCGGCAGGGCTAAATAGCTCCTTCCCAGCCTGCTACCAAAGTAGTAGAAGTGACAGTTCTTCCACCCGATAGCTTTCAACAAAGGAGCTTCGACAGCCTGAGCTCAATGAACTGCGCAACCTGATAACCTCGGATGACGTTCGAAGAGCCCTTGAGGGTTTCAAGAACTTTGCTGCTCCAGGCCCAGATGGGTTGTACACTTATTGGTGTAAAATACTATCAAGCACCCACCGCCATCTGGCCAGAGTTTTCAACTCATGGCTGGACGGAGAGCAGCCGTTTCCGGATTGGTTTGTCGAGGGGCGTACCGTTCTCACCCCCAAAAGCGGAGATTTGTCGATTCCTAAGAATTACAGACCCATAACATGCTTCAATTCGTATTATGAAGTGTTTACAAGCATCTTATATACACGAATACTCACCGCAGTTGACCGAGTGTTCTAACGGATATATGAGCAGAGAGGGTCGAAGAGAGAAGTCGCTAGATGTAAAGAGAACCTGCTCATCAAAAGATGTGTAATGTAGGACCCGATACAATATGAGCGTAACCTCTCTATGACCTGGATCGATTACCGCAAGGCATTCGATACAACATCGCATGAGCTCATCTTGCATTTGCTCAGATGCCTTGCGGTACCCCACAGATTAGTGAGATGTATTGAACAACTGCTACCACTCTGCCTAACTCGCTTCACCATAACATCTGGTCAAGCCAGAGTTCAAGCAGGGTGGGTCACTTTCAGAAGGGGTATATTTCAGGGCGATTCCCTCAGTCCCCTTCTCTTCTGCATCTCACTATTGCCATTTTCCGCTGCCCTCAGAAATACTCGAGGGTATAACTGTGGCACCTTCAAAAACTGGAGGCACAAAGTAACCTATTTGTTTCGTATGGATGATCTCAAACTTTATGCCTCTGGAGAGAAGGATCTCCATCAGTCCTTGAGAGTGGTGGAAGAGTATATGCATGCTATCAGTATGAAATTCGGGATAGACAAATGTTCAATGATTTATCTCAGAAGAGGACGATGCGGGGACTACGGAGAGGATGTGCAGCCCGTAGATGGAAGCATCCAACACCATTTGGATGCCGGAGAGACGTATACTCACCTCGGGGTGGAACAAAACCACTCACAAGAGGTAACATCAATGAAAAACTTTCTCCGTGGCAAGTATCAGCACAAACTTCATCAGATCTGGTCATCAGAACTGTAGGGGAAGAACAAAGTTGCTGCAATAAATATGTTTGCCGTTCCAATCTTACTCTACTCGTTTGGAGTAATGAAGTGGACTCGGGAGGACCTGTATCAACTCGACGTAAAGATCCAAAAATGATACATCCCTATAGGAGTTTGCATCCCAGTTCGTCCGTTTCACCGTTGTACTTCCCCCGACAACAGGTAGGCCGTGAACTTTTGAGTTTGGAGTGTGTTCATGAAAGAATGGTACTGGATATAGCCTGTAAAGTCGTCAGGAGTTCGGATCTTCTTCTCTGGATGATCCGTGACCATGAGAGAGCAGGCATTGGAACATTTCTCTCTAGGGCAGCTGCCCGAGCAGCTGATGAACTCAGTTTAGTTTTCCACACTGAACGAGGTGACCACAACTTTGTCACCGAGTTGAAACCTAATGCATGGGGTCTCATTTAATGACATTGAAGATCTAGGCTTATCAAAGTGCCTGACTTTCCCTTTCCTCAGGTCAAGTGGACTTTTTCAATGTTCAGTTTCAGATTGTACCAATATAGTAGTATAGTAGGTATATCACCGTATCGTCTGCGAAACTTATAATTTTTCCGATTGTTCACGATCTCAAATAGCATCGGTCACAGTATTGTCCCTTGAGGTACATCGCATGTTATTTTCTTTTCTGCACTGATTTGGTTTCCAATTCTAACACTTTTTTTACTGTTCGTTGAGTAGCTTTTAAGTAATTTGTGTGATATGTCGTGATATTTTTGGAAATGAAGTTTGTGAAAATACAATCGTTAGGTGTAGTGTGAGAAATGGGAATGAATAACCTAGAAACCTCCCAAACATACATATTCCAAGAAAAAAACAAAAATTGTCCCCAAACGCCTGAAGCGTACATGATGACAGGCTTGAACATCGTGTTGTAGATCGTGATTTTGTTCTTTAGGCTTAGCTTGGATTTTCTATTGATCAAAGGGTACAGGCTTGCCACCCGACCCTGGATCTTTGCCTTCACGCTTAACAGGTGCGGGTTCCAGGTGAGCCTACGGTCTATAAGAAGACGTAGGTACTTGACCCGCGTTTGCCAGTTAATCTCCCTTCCAGAGATTCTCACTTTCATGGCCGAAGAAGCTATCGTTCTTCCCATGGTTATTGCCTGAGTTTTTTCCGGGTTCACTCGGATCTTCCACTCGAGGTACCAGCGCTCGAGGTCGCCCAATGCACGTTGCATATAGACGATCCCGAGCTCCCGACCCATGGAAGATGAGAGGAGAGCCGTGTCGTCGGCGTAAAGAGATACCTTCACATGCTCGGACCTCGGAAGGTCGCTGGTGTAAAGGGAGTAAAGCGTGGGAGAGAGCACGGCCCCCTGTGGCACTCCAGCAAGGATCTCTCTGTTGTCAGACAGAGAGCCCTCTACTCTAACCTGAAATGTTCTGTCTTTCAGGAAAGACTCAATCCACCGGATCAGGCCCCGAGGCAGGTCGAACGCGATTAATTTGTGTAGAAGGCCTTCATGCCAAACACGGTCGAAGGCCTTCGAAATGTCTCATAAGACTAAGTGAACTTTTTTGTTCCTGTTTAGCTCCGCGATGGTATTTTCGACCAGTCTCAGAGACTGCAACTCAGTGGAATGTTCTCTCCTGAAGCCGAATTGCTGGTCAGGCAGAACATTTCGGTCCTCAACTTCTTCGTTGAGCCTTTGAAGTACGACTCTTTCAGCCAGCTTAGCCGCCGACGAGAGCAGACTAATCGGGCGATAATTCTGCGGGAAAAGCCGGTTCTGCTCCTGTTTCGGGAGCATGACGACGACCGCATGTTTCCACCTTCTGTGGAAGTATCTTAGAGCCAGAGAACTGTTAATGATGGACAGTAGGCTCTCAACGCAGTTTTCCGTGAGCATCTTCAATAACTTGTTTGTTATTGAGTCAACCCCCGGGGCTTTCTTGGCCTTTGCGGCCTTGATATAGCCCTTTAATTCTTCCACAGAAGCCGGACCAATGACATCATCATCATCCTCCCTGAGGATGCGGTGAACCCGATCTTCAAGCAGAATATCGCGGTCGATGTCGTCGTTGTCGTCAACATTAAGTTGAAACTGACGTTCCATCGTGTCAGCAAAAGCCAACGCTTTGTTGGCGGGGGAGTAGCACGCTCCGCGCTCTCCGTGAATGGGTGAGGGAGCTGCCTTCTTTCCTTTGAGTCTACGAGTGATTCGCCAAAGCTCGTCACTCCCAGGCTCAATGGTTTCCAACAGCTCCTCCCACCTCTCATTTCGGTGATCAATGATGGCCTGTTTTACTCGATTGGCCATCCTGTTTGCCGCTGTTTTGTCTCCTGGAAAGAGTGTTCGCTGATAGAGCCTTCTCAGGCGATTTCTCTCTCGCATCAAGGCGGAGACCCTCAGGAGGGGCGCGCATCTCTCCGAGCTGAGCTGTGAAGATATCCCAATCCGTCTTATATCTCATGCAATAATCAGGGGAAGGAAGATCATCACCCAATACCAGGGTTACTGGATTATGATCGGAATCCAGTTCCGACTGAACGTAAATTTCGCTAGTCAGAGAGACGTTTCTGAGAAGCGCGATGTCTAGTACGTCAGGCCTATACTGCCCGCGATAGAACGTAGGTTCATCCGGTCCCAGCACGAGATATTCATGTCTGTCAGCATGTGCATGGAGCGCTTGGCCGTTTCGATTGGTGGCTCTGCTCCATAGTCCGTACTTGGCATTGAAGTCGCCAGCAGCAGTTGTCAGAATATCACTACCCATCAGCAGTTCATCCTGTGATTCTGGGAGTAAAAGATTTCTCAGAGGGTTGTAGACAGAGATTAATCTGTGACAACCCCGACTCAGTCGAATTTCGACCCCTACTGCCTCAGTTCCGTATAACCGAGCACTGTCAATGCCGTATTGGACACACTGGAGGGATCGTTTGACAAGAATGCCAACTCCCCCACCAGCACGTCCAACACGTTCTCTATGGTTGAACTTGTAATTTGGAATGACAACGGATTCATTCTTCAGATGCGTCTCTTGAATTAGAGCCGCATCGATGATGTGCTCTACGAGAAAGTTCTCGAAATCAAGTTTCTTAATAATATTGTATCGCCTTAACAGAAACTTGGTTATTAGGTATAGTGGAAATAAGTAATATTGAAAGTATAAAGTTGATAGTCAATTTATAGACCTCTATCCACAGATCCATACGAATTCAAGAGACACTTAGATAGTTATTTCGAATCGAGTCATCCTCATACAGCAGCTTATTCGATTCTTCTACGAGACATCAACATAGATATATTGAAAAAAGACGATATCTGCAATGAATATCTGAGTACACTTAGTAAATTTGGTAACTCATCAGCAATCAATAACCCAGCCCGAGTTCAAGATAAAAGCGATACTTGCATATACCACATTTACATTAAAGCAAAACCTGAGGTTCTGGATAAAATAATTCCACTCATCATGAGAACAAATATAACGGACCACTATATGACTTCTCTTCAAATCATTTTAGAGTGTCCACATTTTAACAAAAGAACAAATGTCAAAAATGTCAATACGCATATAAATCTCAACAAACTCAAAAAATTGATAACCAATATCTTGGGCCGAAGTTTTCAGAACCATTATCCTCAATACCGCCACCGATACATTTAAAGATATTCTACTCAATTCCATAAAAAAATGTAGTATTCATATAAGATCCAAAAGAAAGGATATCAAGATTGATCCATGGCTAATAGTTTGGTGAAACAAGACATAAAAAATAAACGTTTCAAAAAAGTACGCATGGAGCCTACCAATCTAGAACAAAAAAAGGAACTAGAAAAAAAAGAAAGATCAATCATATCAATAAAAAATGAATCATGGGTTACTCTTAACACAAGACTAGAAATACCAAACGAATTCAATTCAATATGTTTTAACATAGGAGAGAAAATGGCTGAAAAAATACAGAGAAATCCGTATTACTCACATAAAAAAACGGTCCCAAATTCATTTGTCCTCTTACCGATACAAGCAAACTTATAATCGAAAAAGTCCACAGGTATTGATGATATCAACGCTGATATATTAAAATCAATATCTCAGCATATTGAGGAGCCATTAGCATATTTGTTTAATTTGTGTATGGAGAAAGGCTACTGGTCAACAGCATTAAAAAAATCGATTGTTACTCCTTTGTTTGAAAAGGGGAATACAGATATTGGGACAAATTATCACCCCATATCGCTTATAACACCTCTAACTAAAGTTTTCAAGAAATTACTCAAAAAAAGACTAACATCATACATCTCAAATTACAATTTAATATCTGATCATCAGTTTGGATTTAGAGAAAATATATCTACCTAAGATTCAATATTAGCAATAACATCTGAAATATCTTCAGGGCTTAGTGAAAATAAAAGTCGAGTCTCTGCGTTTTCATAGACCTATCGAAAGCGTTTGACAACGTCGACCACACATTGCTTCTACAAACAATGGAAGATAATGGCATAAGGGGTGAGGAGTTACCTCACGAACAGAGTACAAACGGTGAGAATAGATGAAATTATAAGCACTGAGAAGTATATCGAAAATGAGATATCTCAGGGTACGGTTTTTGGACCTACTCTATTCAATCTGTACATAAATGACTTATTCTTTCTAGAAAGTAAAGGAAACATTTTAGGATTTGCAGACGACACAACAATATTCTATAAGGCAAATAATTGGCAAGAATTAAAATATACTGTAGAATCAGACTTTGATACAATAAAAACCTGGCTTGAATACAAGCCATCAACTATAAATTTGGAGAAAACCCAGTATATGCCATTCGTCCTGAAAATAAGGTGAAGTATTTGGGAGTAATTGATTCACATCTCAAATGGAATGAGCATATAAACTTCATTTGCAAAAAGCTGCGAAGTATTCTACACAAATTCAAAACCTTAAGAGAAATATTCTCCACTCATCACCTGAAAATTCTTCACCTCGCACTACTAGAAAGTCATTTACGCTATGGGATAGCATGCTGGGGCGGGGCATTTCGAACACACCTTCGTCCTCTTGACGTACTACAAAACAAGTTTCTGAAACTGATACATTCGAAAAGTTCACGCTTTCCTACAGACAATTTGCTTTGTGAAGCCGGTGTTTTTGACATTCGTCAACTCTTTTATTTCAATGTAATTTTAACGTACCACAAGAAGAAAAGTTATTTCTTACCGTCACACGATTACAACACCCGAAAAAAAGATAATCATGTAATTTGCAGCATACATATACTTACCTGGCTCCAAAATTATTCAANAACTCAAGCAGTCATTATTGTGTGATTTTGAAAAATATTAGAGGTAATTAAAAAAATAGTGTTTCTGGAATTTCGATTGTCTATTTTTGGAAAAAATTAAATGATAGTGAGAAATTTTTGTTTAGTAATACCCTTACGTGTTTGTTCATGAATTATATATAAAATTTTAAAATCAATATTGAATACTATTTAAAAAATATTACATGTGGTAAACTGTATGCAGTGAGGATGCCATAAAAGGCAAGAGAAGCCCTATTTTTGGCGTTAAATTAAAATTATAAACATTGAAAAAGTTCCAGGAAGTGAGAGTTTTCGTTGTCAATTTCATTTTTTTTTTCAGATTACTGATGAAATTGGCCTATACTTGTTGAAAATCCATTACGTATTCAAATACATGATGTCTCCTTTCAGAATTTTTTATTTTCATTTCTCATGTAGATATTGATACTTTTTGAGTTATTAACGAAAAACTTGGTACCTTTCTTTTCATCTCAATCTGTTGCAATTTATTGCAATTTTTTGTGTGCTGAAATATATTTTCCTACACGTCATTTCAAATCAAATGAACTCTCGCTCACATTGATGCTTCATGTCTATTGAACACTAGTCTCTATTTGTGTGTACCTTATGAGGGTTACCGTTCATAGAATCGCGACAGCTGGTTACTGGAAAAATCTTTCATACTAAAGCGTTTCGATATCTTGTTCAAATTATCTCAAGCTCACGATACTTCAATTTTGAGTATTATATGGCTCTTCCATGAGTCTAATTCAAACTACAATATTTCACTAAATACTCATTCAATACAATGGAAATGAACGCCATTTGAATCAGTGCACTTTTGCCAACGAACCACGCCAGCCGCTGACCACCATACAGTAACCATGTTCTTTTTTTGGTGAGTTTTCGTCTTTGTGAAGTACCTGGGTGGCTCATCGGTGTCCAACCACGTCTCCTGAACGTCTCCTGTTGTAGTAAAGGATCCAGTTTTCATCTCATTTGACGATCCGATCCAAAAAAGGATTACTTTGGTGGTGCAGAAGCAAAGAAGAACATACTTCGAAACGTGATAATTTCTGTCGATGAGTCAAATCGTGGAGCACCACCTTTCCAAAACGTTTCAAATCATGAGTTTTTCCGCCATACTACGCATTGTTTGGGATAGGTCAGTCTCCACCAGGGTCCTGGATTACTGTAGTCAACTACTTTATGGCTCATCTTCAAGGCTTAAATCTCCCAAACGAAATTTCATTGGGTAATTTTTCGGACCGTTTTGGCAGCGCTCTGGTTCAGTTCGGATTTGTGGAGAAAAATTGGCTGAAAATCGCGGTATCATATAGTAATGAGCATAAAAG